CCCACCCCCTGACCACGCCCTCGCCTGCGGTCCTCGGGAATAAAGCGGACCAGGGTCCCACGCGGTGTCTGGTGTCTGTGCGGGCCTGGAGCAGTGGCGCCGCCTGGCCGCCAGGGGGCGGCAGGTCCGCGTTACGGGTGGGGAGCGCGTTAGGGGTGCAAGCGCTGCGCTAACAGGACCCCGCCCGCCAGGGGGAGCTCGGGAACCGAGGGGGGCAGAGGGCTTGCACTCGGGAGGGGAACACAGACGGCATCGCAGTATCGCTAGGTGGAGTGGCTTTAAATGCTATTAAAATAAAGCAGGTGGCGAGACTGTGCGGAGATGAAGCTGGGAGGGGAGACTAATTTCCATCGAGGGAAGGCCCCTCTGGGGAGGTGACATTTGAGAGCCAGCGTGGGAAAATCTGGAAAAACAGCTTCCCAGGGAGAGGAAAGAGCGAGAGTAAAGAGGCCTTAAGGTGGGACTGCGCTTGGCAGCATCCCGTCTGGTGGCTTTGTGGTCTCTACAGATGAGCCGTCCCCAACTTTGCTGCCCTGAGCCCAAACTTCTGGACATAGAGAGGGGATGGTGTTAGCAAAGGGGCTTTGGGGGAGCATCTTTGCTCTGCCACCGTGGGACATGGTTTCTGGTCTGAGAGGTAGAGTGGGTAGGAGGGATCTGAGCCCCACAGCCAGGCCGTCACCAAGTGCCCCCTTCCCTCAGCGCAGCTCCAGTCCCCACAGCCTTGCTAATTCATACTCAAGTGAGAATGACCCTTGTAAGTGACACAGGTGGGAGAGGATCTACCAGCCCTAAAACCCTTGGAAGGAAATTTTTTCTTCAAAACCAGATGTTCTGCTTCTGATGTTTAACAATCCTCCCTGAGGATGACTCAACTCAGAACTGGGAGCAGGTGGATCTCAATGCAAGACAGAAAAAAAAATCCAAGTTGATATAATGGGAGAATTGGGGGATTTTTTTTTTTTTCAGGTAATAGAAGATAGGGCTTCTGGGATCATGAACTTGAAAAGAACATGAGCGAGAACCCAGACAACAATGAACCGCAGACCCCAGGCCCCGGCTGGTGGTTAAAAATACCCTCCCTCTATTTTCCCATGGCTTATGCAAAAAAGGAAATTCTATAACTGGGGAAATTGTCAACTGGTGGCTCATGCGCCAAATCTGGCTCACGGATGTATTTTGTCTGCGTGGTTTTAAACAAATTTCAGCCAGCGTTTCCAAAAGTTGGGGTATTTCACATACAAGTCCTAGGACTCTGGTTCTACTTGGAACCACCAGGTGATTCTGGGCTTGCCTCCCTACCCAGCAACACTCAGCTGGTGCCAAGCGGTCGATGCCTCTTTATTTTATTTTATTATTATTTTAAATAGGTTTTTATTGATTTCAGAGAGAGGAAGGGAGAGGGAGAGAAACATCAATGATAAGAATCATTGATAGGATGCCTCCTGCACGCCCCTTACTGGGGATTGAGAGCCCTTAACCGTGGATGTGCCCTGACTGGGAATCATCGAACCATGACCTCCTGGTTCACAGGCGGACGCTCAACCACTGAGCCACGCCGGCCGGGTATTGGTGCCTCTTTAGATGGGGCCTGGACAAAGCAGACCCACATTAACTGAGCCCGGACTAGGGATCCAGACTACCTGGGTTCTCACCCCACACCAGCCCCTTGTTTGCTGTGACCTTTACTTGACCTCTCAGTGCCTCGATTTTCCTCATCTGTTAAGTGGGGGTTAAATGCCTGCCTCCAAGCGCTGCTGTGAGTTTAAGATCAAAGGTGTTTAAAACTGGCCGGCACAGCGTCAGCACTACGTTTGCTCTTATTTTTGGAGAGGGGCCTGAGAGGGGCTTTGCCCAAGTCCACCTGGCATCTCCCCCCTCCCCATCAACCTGGTCTGCCCTGTGCATGCAGACGTCTTGGTTGGGCTCCCTTTTTGGTCCCCACCACAGAACCAGTGAGGGAAGGACTTATCCCGTGGGACCGGGTGATTTGAAGAGTAAGGGAGCCGGAGAACCATCAGACTTGGTAGCCAAGGGGAAAGGAGAAGTCCAGGATTTTACAGGTTTTGAGCCTGGGAGTAGGGGGGGCAGGTTCAAAAGAGACGATGAAAGAAACTCAGATTTTGTGTTTCCCTTGTGTGCCCGGTGCTGGACCTGGAAGGCCCTGCAGCATCGGCCTCCCCCTCCCCCGCACAGTACCTTTCAGACCTTATTTCCTCCCCCTCAGAGGCAGCCTTGCAGGCCTCCTTGCCAGTGTTCAATGCATCAGGTGGGATCCTGCCTCAGGGCCTTGGCACTGACTGTTCCTTCTGCCTGGAATACCTTTCCCCCAAGGGTCCAAGGAAATAATGGACCCATGCTCTGGCCCAGTAGCTCAACTGGTTGGTGCATTGTCTCGATATGACAAAGTCTTGTGGGTTCGATCCCCAGTTAGGGCACATACAGGACTCAACCAATGAATGCATAAAATGTGGAACAGCAAATCCATGTTTTTCCCCCTCTCTCTCTCAAGTCAATTAAAAAAAAAAAATCTCTGTGGGCCCCTTAGTCACCTATTTTACCAGCCCCCCCCCACCAAAGGCAGACAAGAGCACTGCCTCCTTAAACATTCAACATTTCTTAGTTCTAGTGACGGCAACAGGACCTTGTGTGTAGTATCCTTAATTGCAGACTATTAGCAGCGTTAGATACCTAAGGTTTTAAGAAAGGTTCTGGAAGGAAAACTTTAAAAAGCTGCGACTCAAGAGTTTAAGACCTGCGGTCCTGAGTGGACTCCCCCCCCCCCC